CCAGCCTTCAGAAGAGGTCCGGGGACAGACTGTCCCCGGACCTGGTCTGAAGGCGGTTTCCCTAGGAACGCATTAATTGATTTTCAATGCATTCCTATGGGAAACCGTGCATCGCAAGACGAAAAACTCGCAAGACGAAGAGACTTGCGGAACGAATTAATTTCGTCTTGCGAGGCACCACTGTAAGGGGTCATAGTGACATCCACGTCACACACAAACCTCAAGAGAAGGGCTTAGCACCTCCATGAGCAGCTTTCAGGCAGCCCCATCCCAGAAGGAGGCTGAGTGCCATGTGGGAGACCAGCGTTTGAATCCCTGCTCAGCCTTGCAGCTCCCTGGGTGCCCTCTTGGGCCAGTCCCTGCCTCTTAGCCTGACCTACCTCACAGGGTTGTTGTGGGGATTAAATGAGAAAGAGGAGAACCATGTACACCACCTTGAGCTCCTTGGAGAAAAAGGTAGGATGCAAATGCTATGAATACAATTAATACATTTTTAAAATGCAGGTTGTTTATTCTACTACCTGCACCCATACACCATCCTGCCTGGTGTATCAGGGGTGTTAAGATCAGGGGTCGGCAACATTTTTGGGGCATGGGCCAGTTCGCGATCCTGCAGATGCCACAGTGGGCCAGAGTGTGTGTGTGCGCGCACACGCACACATGCATGCATGCATGCACAAACACCATTTCCAGCACTCCTTCCAGCACGTAGGAGGCATGCACAGCTTCCCATTGGCTGGAGGAGCTTCTTGCAGCCAATGGGAAGCCGCCCAGCATCCCGGAAGGCAGTCCTCGCTCTGCTCCACGCGCGGACGGCAGGGGTCCATGGGCTGGTTAAACAGCCGCCACGGGCTGCTTCCGGCCAATGGGCCTTAGGTTGCCTATGCCTGCTTAGGATGTGTTTTGAGGGCCCACGTCCTAGGAACGTGTCAGAGGAACAGGTGGGATTGGAGGATGGTTAAGCAGACTCCCTGCCCGCTCCTCAGCAAGGCCTCTCCTCTGTTCATTGAGTGCTCTGCATAGGGACATAAGAACAGAGGAAACTGCTTTCTAATGAGATGGATCTTTGGTCTATCTAGCTTGGCATTGCCAACTTGAGGGTCTTTTCCAGCCTTCCCTGGAGATGTCAGGATTTACACCTTGTACTGCTGCATGCAAAGCAGATATTCTACCAATGGCCCACAGCCATTCCTCATATTGTAGTTGTAGTAGTATTATGACGTCCTTCCCTGCTCCCCTTTTTAGTTTTCTTCGTAGAACATTTTCTGTAGAATTGCACCATCTGGTGGTGGAAGAAACATTTTCATGTTGCAGTCAGAGATGCAAAAATTGATAAAATCATGGAATTTTAGAACTGTAGAGTTGCAAGGGACCACAAGGGTCCAAACCGTATGCAGCGCAAGGATCTTTTGCCTAACGTGGGGCTCAAGCCCACAACCTTGAGATTAAGAGTCTATTGACTGAGGTATTTTAGGACTGATATATCTGGCACAAGGTCACCTTTTTTTGGTCTAGGAGAATGTTTTTTAAAAGATATGGATGTGGCAAGGGTCACTTTCCAGTTGAGGCAGCATGGAATGTATAAGAAGTTGATGTATTCAAAAGAAAACCACGTTGCATGGATTTCTTTGTTTCTTTCCAAAGTAATCATAGATGCAAAGTTAAAATTGTCTTAAGTTGGGAAGAATGGCCTGACTTGGAATAGGGAAGCTTCATATGTTCCATCATCTCTTGACCATGGCAACCTAGGATGGGCAACCTATCTTTGCCTTCTCAGGCAGCTAATTTTGGGTGTCATGAGAAGCAAGCGAAAGGTTAATTGATCCATTTATTATTGTGTGTTGATTTGGCAAGCTTTGTACTGCTCAACTTGACTTTGAGACAGGCACTATTTGTGCCCCCAGCCCTAAAAGAGTTTGGGCTGGTCCTGTGGAGAGTATCAGAATAGCACTTTGCAAGGCCTGCTGCAGAAGATAATAACACAATAAAATCCAAAACAGTAGTGATTAATTAATTGCACATTTATTCAAAATCCAGTTAAAACTATTTCATAGAATCATAGATCATAGGCATACACAGTTGGAAGGGACCCCAAGAGTCATCTAGTCCAAGCCCAGAAATGCAAGAATCACTGCTAAGGAATTTCTGACCTCTGCTTAAAAACCACCCAGTGAAGGAGAGTCTACCATCCTCTGTCAAACAGCCCTATCAGCAGAAAGTTATTCCTAATGTGTAGTCAGACTCTCCTTTCCATCTTCCATGTGACAGCCCTTGAGATATTTGCAGATGGCTCTCCTATCTCCTCTCAGTCTCCTCTTTTCCAGGCTGAACATGCCCAGCTCCCTCAACTGTTCCTCATCAGGCTTGGTTTCCAGAACGTTGATCATCTTGGTGATGCTCCTCTGCACATGTTCCAGCTTGTTAATGTCCTTATTCTGGTGCCCAGAAGTGGACACAGGACTGCAGGTGTGGTCTGGCCAAGGCAGAATAGAGTGGCATTATCATCACATCCTTGAGTTGCATTAAGCTTGTGGTCTACTAAGACCCCTAGGTTTATACACTGCTTAATACAAAACAGCCTCTAAACAGTTTACAAAAATAATAAAGAAAATATAAATCAAATACAGTGGTGCCTCGCAAGACGAAAAGAATCCGTTCCGCGAGTCTCTTCGTCTTGCGGGTTTTTTCGTCTTGCGAAGCAAGCCCATTAGAGGTTTAGCTTAGCCGGCTTAAAGATCAGCTGATAAGCGGCTTAACGATCAGCTGATAAGCGGCTTAGCATCAGCTGTTAAGCGGCTTAAAGATCAGCTGTTAAGCGGCTTAGCATCAGCTGTTAAGCGGCTTAACGATCAGCTGATAAGCGGCTTAGCATCAGCTGTTAAGCGGCTTAAAGATCAGCTGATAAGCGGCTTAGCATCAGCTGTTAAGCGGCTTAAAGACCAGCTGATAAGCGGCTTAGCCATCAGCTGATAAGCGGTTTAGCAGCTTGGGAAAAAGGGGGGGAAAGGAAAAAAACCCCTCGGGAACTCGCAAGACATTTTCGTCTTGCGAAGCAAGCACATAGGAAATTCGTTTTGCAAAGCACCTCCAAAACGGAAAACCCTTTCGTCTAGCGGGTTTTCCGTCTTGCGAGGCATTCGTCTTGCGGGGCACCACTGTAAAAAGAAAAAAAGGTAAAGGACCCCTGACAGTTAAGTCCAGTTGCAGACGACTCTGGGGTTGCAGCACTCATCTTGCTTTACAGGCCGAGGGAGCCGGCGTTTGTCCACAAATGGTTTTTCAGGTCATGTGGCCAGCATGACTAAGCTGCTTCTGGCGCAACGGAACACCGAAACCAGAGCAGCGCATGGAAACGCCGTTTACCTTCTTGCCGGAGCGGTACCTATTTATCTACTTGCACTTTTGGGGCATGCTTTCTAACTGCTATGTTGGCAGGAGCTGCGACCGAGCAACGGGAGCTCACCCCGTCGCAGGGATTCGAACCGCTGACCTTCTGATCAGCAAGCCCAAGAGGCTCAGTGGTTTAGACCACAGCACCACCCTCGTCCCGTATAAAACAAATAACAAACCATAAACATATCTCAATAAAACGACAACAGTCCTTATATAATACAATAAAATCTTAGAAAGGCAACAACATAACAGCAGGATTGGTGCTTCTACAGAATCAATCTTTTAGTGTGGCAACACCAACACTTTGGAACTTCCTGCCTATTGACAGTAAGCAGATGCCTTCACTGGACTCTTTTTGGCACTAGACTAGCCGATACAGATATATAGAATGCTGATGTGTGCTTTAAACTTTTTTTTGGCATATTGCTGGTTTTATTTTAATGTTTTAAATAGTTGTGTTTAACTGCTTCTACTGATGAATTTGTTGTTTTTTTATCATTGTAAACCACTTTGAGGTTTCACAATCAAGTGGTATAATAAATCTGCTGAAATAAAATTAAGATGAGTCCCCCCCAAAAAAAAGTGCCAGAGATTGAACCTAAGGCCTCCTGCTCTCAAAGCAGGTCACATTTGTATCCCACCCCTTAAATCAGGCCTGGAGAAACAGGACCCCTCCAGGAGTTGTTGGACTTCAATACCCATCAGCCCCAGTCAGCATGGCAAATGATCAGGGAGGGTGGGATTTGTAGTCCAACAGCATCCTAGCGATCCACCAAGTTATCCATCCCCGTTTGAAATTAAAGGTGTGGCTGAAATGTTACCAGACTTCGCATTTATGGAACTCAGCAGCCCCAACTTATGCCAGCGGATCAGGGTGTCCTCAGTGCTGGGCATTTCCACAAGGAAAACCACGTGCTCAGAGAGGGCAGACCACATAATGAATGCCGCATGGAGTTTGGCTCTGAGCGAGCTGCAATTTCCAAGCATTTTTCAAATGGCAACCCCATGCAGAAGACATTATCAAGGAAAGATCACAGTGCACCTGCTTGGATATGGGGCTTGCCCAGCTGCAAAGAAATGTTTTAGCACTTGAAAAGGGGAGCCAGTGAAGGAGGCAGAAATCTGAATGGGTACAGCAGCCTGGCAGAAAGGAGTGGGGAGGGGATGCTGTCTTTTGGAAGGGCTGATGCCACTTGACAGACCACCCCTGACCCACCAAATCCTTGCCCACTCCCCTTTACTCAGACTATACACCTGAAAATAAAATGAAGTTACAAAAACATCTTATTTTCACTGGTGAAATGTTGGGTGCTACCATGAGATCACATAGGAAGGGTTGGTTGTTGTTTTTAAAAAAGAGGTTTACAACTGTTTTCAGAAGCTTGTTTTGGGAAGAAAGAGCAAGATATAAATTTAAGAAATAATGACAGTAAGAGACAAAAACAGGATACAGGTTTACATAAAATTTATGTGTGGCAATGGACATGTCCAGATGCCAATTTAGAAGTCATTAATAAAATTTTGCTGTCCACCACTTTGAGAACCTCTGGGCTAAAAAGCTGTAAAAAGAGACCAGAAGATGATCCTTCCACCTACAGAAACCTTGTTACGGCTTTTACTTCCTCTAGATAGTTAAGTTTGACCGTCTTCGCAGCACTCCACCAGGACCAAGGCTGACCCCTGTGGGGCTGATCTGAGGACCTCACTAAACTAGCCAATCATAGACAGCATTAACACTTTAAAGAGTGTTATCTCACCTTGGAGTGGGGAGAGAGAGACTGGGACCAGGAGACCTGCTGTGCTCAGTCTGCTGTCCAGGTGCTGCTACCCATTGATGGGCCTGTTCATGGCCTCCACACTGCATTCCATTCTTCTTGTTCCTTATCTTTAAATTGGTAGCTTATTTCAAGTGTTCCTTTTGCATGGAGGGATGCTACTTTGGGAACTCCACCAGGGATCCCAGCCATGTTAATTCAGCCTTGCCTGATCTTCTTCCCATCCCAGCTCCTAGCATTTTGAAATCCGAAGTTGCTGACATGCATTCCAGGATGAATGGAATGAAACACAGCAGCATATCCTGCACTAACTTAACATGCCCCTGATACAGGCTTAAAACACAACCTGCCAAGGGGATGTGCAAATGTCCTCCTGGTCAGGGCATGCCCGCTTGAGCATCTTAATTTGCAGAAATTTGCTGATGCAGATGCACTCTTGGCATCCATCCAGCATATCTTTATTGGTGCATTTCCCAAGATGTGCTCCAGCTTGCCTAAGGTCTGCCTAGTCATTAGTTCATCATTAAAGCACGATGAGGCCTTGCTAATGGGTTTTTGCTGTTCCAGCTGCTGCGCTGAGAGCTTCTTACTAGGTTTTGCTCTTTCCACATCTACGACTGATGTGGCGATGCTCGAGGTTGAGAGGGAATGTTCAAAGGGAGCCAGTAGTCTTTCTTCTCCACTTTCCCCCATGCAATAATAATCAGAGCAGGAAGACAGGAAGATGTGAGCACTTTCCTTTGACATTAGCAAAATGATGGGTTCAGCTTGTCCTGGCATCCCACTGGCAAAGTCCCACTGGCTGAGCCAAAAGGGGTTTGCAGCTGATCACTGCCACTGCTGAGGCCCGTGCAGAGGGCATCTGTCAGAGATTTGACCTCTGACATACATTAAAAAACCCTTTATGCCAGAACTTGTGAGGCCCCCCTCTAAAACAGATTTCTAATAGTTATAAAAGTTATACTTGAACAAAATAAAGTTCAGGGGTCTATTCCCTGCTCAGCCATAACCATGAGCCAGTCACTGCCTCTCGGTCTAACCTACCTTGCAGGGTTGCTGTGAAGATAAAATGGGGAGAGGGAAAAACATGTATGCTCCCTTGAGCAAAGTCACAGAATCATAGAGTTGGAAGGGACCCCAAGGGTCATCTAGTCCAGCCCCCTTGTTCCCTGGACACAGTCACACATGCACAAAAGGCCTTCAACTATGCCAGCTGGAATCACTTTTGGGCATGGGAAGGGGCAGAGGAAAACATAGCTCCCTCAACCTTGTAATGGCCGCTATGAGCTGGCAGAGCTCTGCATATAGTGGTGTCTGTTTCCTGAAGGGTTGAATTGCTCTGTTTCTGAGCATTTGATAACTATAAGGAGTCTATTCCACCCTTATAAGTAAATGGTTGCCATTCATGAGGCTTGAGTGTGTGTGTGTGTGTGTGTGTGTGTGTGTAAGATAGTTTGTGTACATACATACATACAATCTCAGTTTCAGAGATAAAAACCTTTGCACTGCAGCTTGTATTAGCGACGGGAATCCCATGGCAACCTTGTCCGTGTTCTCCTATGATGTTTTCCTTTAAGCAGAATGTAGTGGTTAAATATAGCTTGATAGTCACCTGACATTTTTATGTTCCGAAGTTGTTCATTGCCAGGGAGATAAATATATATGAATTTTAAAAGGTCTGGAATACATTTAATGACTCCCCTTTGCTGGCGCCTCCTTTGATTGCCTTCTGTGTTGGAAAGGACTTGACTTCTTATTCCTGATTTGACTGCATCTCCATGACTGTGGGAAATATCAGGTTCTTTTGCTCCCAGCTGAGACTGTTCCCACTTCTCCTGGGTGTCAGAAAGGACAGACACTAAGCAGGTGAGATGATTGTTGCTTTCATGGAGGCAATGCCTGTGGGTGAAAATTAACAGGAGGGCTTCTGACCTTCTGTTTTCTGTCTGCAACAATTTTTGTCAACCCAAAAGAGGGAGTGGAAAATAGAAAGAGGCAACCAATGGCAGAGGGCCTGGCCTGGCTCCTGGGTTCCTCTTATATGGCTCCTGGGTGCCTCTTCTGCAGGCATAGGCAAACTCAGCCCTCCAGATGTTTTGGGACTACAATTCCCATTATCCCTAGCTAACAGGACCAGGGCCGAGTTTGCTTATGCCTGGTCTTCTGCATAGCCCCATATTTCCTATGTTTTGTTAGGAAAGGAGTTGTGGTCCATCACAGCCTTCCCCAACTTGTGTCCTCCACAACTTCTGGACTACAATGGCCATACAATGCTGGAGCTGATGGGAGTTTTAGCCCCAAACTCTGGAGGACAGAAGGCTGGCAAAGGCTGGCCTTTGGGGCTCCCAGGAAATCCTACCGCTCCAGCCCTTTCTTCCTCGGACTGTGATCAAAACTAAACTTTCAGAAGAGTTGGGGTGCTCCTAGGCAGGTGCTTATTGTGGAATCTGTACTGCCATTGAAAGCATTTGTACTGTTGGGACTCCAGATAAATGGCTTGCCAATGTGAAAGCACCATAAGACTGCATCCATTGTGCCATTGGATATGCAGGTTCTGCACCATACAGAATGCGATGATCTGGCAGCACCTCATTAGCACAAGATCACCTGCCTGAAGGGGCACTTTTCCTCCACTTGCAGTTTAAGTGACTGTACAGTCCCTGCATTATCAGCCTCCTAAAGGTGAACCAGGAACCCTCATGATACAAGATATAGCCTGGGAGCTGCTTCTGTAGGCTTCTTCCCACGCTGATTCAGGAATATTTGGACACATGAAGCACATAGGCAAGACCAAGAACATGGATGTCTATGGTGTGATTTTTACTGGGATGAAAGTAATGTCTAGGTGATAAGAGAGAATTTCAAGAGTTGTCAGTCACAAAGAAACTCAGGAAAAAGTGAAGCCTCAACACCACTTCAAAAAACTTTATTTTCCACGGCAGGGACAAGAAATCACTTGGCATTGGCTGTGTGTGAGTGTTGTTTTTTTTCTTTTTCTCTACTTAATCTCCAGAGAAACACTGCAATGTTAAAGCCTATGATCATCAGGAACTCACAAAGGCTGCAGGTGAAACTCTGTGTGGTCTCTCTCTCCCTTTTTAGCCCTGAGCGTCTAAGAAAAAGGAAAGAAAGGAACTCCTGCTGACAAAACTACAAAACTTCTGGTTTTCAGTTCTAAGAAAGAGATGGAAATGAAATAACATTGAGAGGTGAGTCATCAGTGAAGCATGAAGCACTGTGGAATTTAACAGTCAGGCTTAACACTTTTTGTTTTTGAGTTATTGGGAAACTGTTATTTTTAGCTATCACTGATGGGGATGTCAGAAAAGTTGGCTTGCAGAAGACTAGATGAAAAGGAAACTTTTTGCAGAAGACAACACACCTGCTTAGAAACTCATTTGTGTTGACTTCTATATTCATTTATTTCCACAACACTAACCAAAAAATATAAGGCTGGCTCAATATATTTTGCTGCCTGAAGCAGGGTGGCAAATGGCACCCAAGATCAGCTAAGTTATTAAAAACTGGGTGTAATAACAATATTTAATATTTACATTTAATATTTATTTGGGAAGCAACCTGCCCAACTTTTCTGTCAGCATTTATGCCAGTGGCTTACAATATAAACAACAAAACAGTAAAAACAAAAACAAAAAAGAGGAGGGGAAACCAGTGGCCCTCCAAATGTTGGACTACAACTCCCATCAGCTCCAGGAAGCAGAGCCAGTGGCAAAGGAGGATGGAAACTGAAGTCCTGCAATAGCTGGAGAGATGCAGGTTGTGGAAGGGTAGGCCTGTTTAGTGATTAGCCATGTATAGAGGCAGTATCTCTCAGGAAATGGCAACAAGCAGTGACTGCTGCCACTTTCACCCACTGCTTGTGAGCATCCTAGAAGCATCGGTCTAGCCATCGCTTGATACAGAAAGTTGGGCTAGATCAGGCAGGGGAACCTGGTGCCTTCCCCTCAGATTCAGCCAGCCTGGTTGATGGTATCAAGAGATTATGGGAGTTGTGGTGCCCCAACATCTGGAGGGACCCAGGCTCCTTATCCCTGGCATATGTTAAAGGCAAAGGATCAGCTCTTAGAAATGCTCAACACGAGCATCAAACTCCCATATCCAACTGCCTGTATCCCTCCCACATTTAATGGGCCATCAATTATTTAATGAATGTTTTCACCTGGCACCTAAACATATGATGGCGCCACGTGAGCTTCTCTGGGAAGAGCATTCTACAGTTGGGGAGCCACCTCTAGGTTATTTGTGGGGCATAGGAATTCATTCATTTTTCCCCCTGCAAAATATAGTCCAGCCCCCCACAAGGTATGAGGCTGACCCCTGCCTTAGAGGAAATGTGAAATATGAATATTAAATAAAATTATTTTAACTTTTTTTTGCTACTCAAAGCCCGTCTGTGGAATATGTTAAGGGATGTATACAAGGCCTTCATTTTTTGTTTTTGTTTTTAAAATGGTTTTTATTAAAGAATTTCTTCGGTTACATAAGTACATATAGCATCTCTGCTTTCGGTTCCTAGAGTCCTTTCTACATGTCAGTTATATTCGATGTGAGACACTAATGTTTTAGACAAGATAAGGTTGGGGAAGAAGAGAGGTGGGCAGAGAGAAGGGAAGAGAGAGGAGAGAGGTCGTGAACATTCATTATTTTCATTCTTAGTGTACTGTCAGTGTCCCATGAGTGTGGTGCTCTTTCTATTCATTTATTAGAGAGGTGGGGCCCCAGGGCCTGGTTGCTTGCCTTCAGTTGACTGCAGGGAGTTTTGTTTGCGTGTGAGAGGGGGAGGGGTTGTTGGGTCAAGTTAGCCATACCAATTCATATGTTGTGGGTGGGTTCTTGTTGTTGTTTTGTTCGGCTGTGTAATAAAAAGGAGTCACACTGGGGTGGAGGCATCCTCTTTTGTTTGTCCCATGCTAGATTAAATTTGATGGTTAGCTTTTCTA